CGTCAGCCGGGAGTCGAACCCGGGTCGCCTGCTTGGAAGGCAGGTATCCTAACCGTTGGACTACTAACGCGATGGCTGGGGCCCCTCTTGCCCTGGCGCCTGTATAATTCGTGGGACTCTTTAGCGTAATATTTAGTGACCCAGGAGTGGCCATGAAAGTATATTTGAAAATTTTGATTAGGCGTTCACCCAGGGTTTAATTAATGTACGGGACCTAGTTGCCTAGAAGGGCAGTGGCCTGCGTGTTCTCGTCCGGGTATCTGTGAAGCTAGCGCATGAATTTCTTTTTCTGCAGACGGGGTCCTGACGGCCCAAGTAGTATTACACAATTCTCCGCATATGTGCATGCATTAAAATGGCATTTGCTTATGTTTGCCTGCGGGGTGCCCTTGCGCAGCAGGAATTATAGAGAGGTGGGCCGCAACTGCTGGCATGATTCGACTGGGCATCAGCCGCAATCCCTTCGGACACCCACAGACTGGAGAGGAGGTCAGCTGCGCTTTCGAGAGCTATTATATGTGCATTTGACTCTATTGTATCTTGCGCAAGTCCCCCAAAATATCGAGGACCTTCGGTACATTTCGTAACCCTAGGGCCATGAGCAACGAACTCTCTCTGCGCAGCTGGGCAACTGCAATGCCCCGCATGCATCTGGAGATCACTTGCATATGCTTGTGCCGGCGTCTGGAGGTGCAGCAGTGGGCGCTTCCGCTCAGGACGGTGTGCTACAACTCATGACAGGCTACGTGAACGGATCCCGGCATAGCCTGTGAGGGTCTGAGGGCTCATCCCACACACCATCAGCTTCCTGGGCCCGAAGTGCCTCCGCTGTTATGGATTCACAACACCCCATCGAGTAACGGGGCGCGGATGCTTACGACGACTCACAGTTATTCTTGTGTCCGCGTTGCTGTTCTCGTTGGGGGCACACATCGCAGAGCTGCGGATATTGTTCGGTTCACCCATTGCCGAGAGCGGGGTCGGGTTCCGACGGCCCTATTATCGCTAAGGCCCCAAGGTCCCCTTATCTGGCCTGCTGTGGGGGAATTTCTCAC